ACTTACAAAAGGTATGTGGAGCAGAGAAACATGAGAAGAAGCTGTGCTTGCTTCTATGACTGACTCGAACCAGGGGCTTGGAGCACACAAAAGACACCTCAGAGAGAGGTGTGGGTGAGAGACTCACCGGGAGGCTAAAATTGCAGCCTTTATTTTTACTTGGATTTTGCACATTTCCTTCCAGACTTGCCTACCCTCTTCTGCCCCTTTCCAATGGGTCCCCCCAGAAGGTATCTTGGGTCTGTGGCAAACTTTTGGGCCTCAGTGGCCCCTACTTTGGGACAACCTTATTTGGCTAGGCATTTACCCACATGGGAGTGGGTAACTTTGGGTGTTTCATAAAGATTTATTTATTTATGCATACAAGAACAGGGGTACAGGCCAGAAGTGTACAGGGGTACAGGCCAGAGGTAAGAGGATTCACTAGAGATAGTGGGCAACAGAACAGGCAGAATGACTGATGCACTGCTGAGGGAAGCAGTGGATGAGACAGAAGGTCGCCAAGCCATGTAGGTCAGCTTCCCAGGCTGAAATGCAGCTACTGACAACTTCATAGTGCTGTGCTTAACTGTCTGCAGTCCTCTTAGGGAAACCTTTAAATTGTATTTTTTTCTTCTCTCACACGAATTGTGTCACAGTTTCTTTCCATAAAAGGTCTGTGTATTAGAGTATGTTGTTGTTTTGATGTGGCAGATGGCAGAACCTACTTAGAGTAGGCAGGTCTGGAGGTCCCCACCCTCGGGATACCAGCCCTCGGGATACCGTTAAGTACTTTCACTTTGTGTGTGGGGTGACAAGATGTCAAAAGAGAGAAAAGACCAAATGATAACTGATTCTACAATGTTGTTTTTGAGCTCTACAATAGAGGACTCACAGCAGATGAAGGAAACTTTTCTTAAGAGTTTTACAAAGCTCAGAGTATAGATACAGAACCATCCCAGCATGCACAATGCGTGGAAGCTTTATGGGAGTTACTAGGAAAATGCTGGGTGGTGAGGGTCTAGGGTGAACATTCCCACAGTTGTCATTGCAGAGCACCTGTAATGGCAGCAGATGCTCAGGCTTGGAAACATTCTGAAGACAAGAAATACCTAGATATCAACATTACCAGAAATAATTGAGGGGGGTGGTGAGGAAGCGTGAGCTCAGGAAACATGAGAATGAACAATGCTGTGATTGATCTATTTCACACCCAAAGTCTACACTATGTAACTGATGCTATTCTAACATTAAGTAAAAAGACATAGCTTCAGTTACCAAGAAATTCATGGTTTTGTTATCAGGGCAAATGTGCAAAAACAGACAATGATAAAAAGCTTCTGAAACATTTTAATAAGATTTTTTTTATTAGAGTTTGAAAGAGTTCATTAAACTTTGATGTGTCAGTTTGATCTACTCACCTCACCTCCCTTTCTATTTAGGAAGAAAACTGAGGCTCACAGAGGTTAAGTATTTTTCAAAATCACACTGGTGATACTAAAAGACAGGGAGAGAACAGCTGCTAACACACAGAAACACTTTTGCATTAAATTACAATACCTCATCCATACCTAACGCATTAAATGGAAACCTATATTCTGGTTATTACACCAGGTAGAAATGTCCTAGGGTCTCCTTCATCCTACAAAACATTATAATACCTAGTAAATTAAGGAGGTAATACATAACCAAGGAAATCAGTTAAAAGTGTTTTTCACAGAAGGCTCTAACAGAGTCTTCAAATTCTTGCATCTATTGTACTCAACTTTCCATACCTCTCCTAAATAATTTTCGTAAAGCTTATCAAATGGTGCCTTAAAGGTAACATCACTTTGTAAGCCTGGGGGGGGGGTCACAGAGTCACTACTCAATTACATATTTTTGAGGTTGTATACAAATATTCCACTAGCTGGGCTGAAAGGAAAAAAAATATGCTTGCTGGATTTTTCTCTAGTGTCTAAAATTTTGTTTTTAACAGTCTGAAGAACCTAAGCAAACAGATCACTTCATATTTTCAAGCTTCATTAATTATGGTAACTTGTCATTTTGGTCTTGTTAAGCAAGAGTTAACTGAAGACTGTCATTAACTAGAAAAGTAGAGCTCATTCTCAGAAGCAGAGCTGAGCTCGAGGACAAGACCAACAGCCTTTCTGTAAGTCACTTCCTGTTTTGTTTAGGCAGCTCAACATGACCATTTCAGGTAACAATGCAGAAGTTAAAAACCCAACTTCCTTTTTATAAAGTCATAAAAACTTCAACATTTAGTTATGAGAGTAGTTGGGTTTTCTAGTGTCTACAGAAATAGTTGCAAGGAAATAGGAGACCATCATGATATTCACTCTGGGTTACCGGCTTTCAGAAAAATGTAACAAAGATTAAAAAAAAAAAAAAGTAATACTAAGATACATTCCCTATCCCTGAAGGCTATACAGTGTTGTAAACTAAATTAATTGGGGGTGGAGGTCTGGGGAAGGCAGCACCATGACGTAGATGCTTAAAAAAACTCCCAAATCATAAGCAGTCCAGATCTGAGAAAATACAAAATCTTTACTTAGAGCTCCACTTCTCCAAGGAAAAAATCAACACAAACTAAGGCTGAGAATATCTTGATTATTTTAAATGTTGGTTGCCTTCATTGTGAAAGTCAATGGGTCAAGAATCACTTTTAATGATTGTTTGTGATTGCTAATCATATCAACACCTCTTGTTGGAAAACTACATTCTCAATTCTTGAATTCAATTAAAAGGAGTCAAGCTTGGAGGTAAAGGGGGCAAAATATGAATGAAGCTGAGAAGATTTGATATTCTTTTACAAGTTTTTTTACTACCAGATTCACAACAGAAATATAGATTGGTTTCATCTCAGTCTGGTAATAAGAATCGAATGAAATTTCTACAATCACAAATCATATGAATTTATTATAAAATACTATATCAGCCGTTTTTAATTCACATTAACAAAAGTACTGTTACTCTAAAAACTCATTTTTAGAGTTTTTATAAAACCCAATATAAAATTTATTAACACTTTGGGGAAGATTTCTTACTAATTATGACCTGCTTGCTGTGTCAGTATTAACATTAGATAACAACAAAAAGTATGCTGGGAGACAAGAGGAAACTGGTCATGGATCTATTAACATTATCAGTTTAAACACTGTCAACATCCAAAGGCATCTTAATCGGGCACCTTTAAATGTATGCGTTTCTTATGACAAAGGCAGTCTAACCCAGTGTTAAAGGCACACACACCTTGCCAACACCAGTAAATGCAGAATTACTTGTGCACAGCAAACTCCCAAGTTTTTAATTTGGTGATATTTTGTTATAACATTATTTTTGCTTAAAATAAGTGAGGCGTTAGCAGAACCAACGTTTGTTATCCCATCATTTTTACTGAATTAAATTTCATCTGAAAGCGGAAGTTCATACATGAAATGCCTCACCCAAAGTCACACATGTATTATTAGTTTCCTAGTAAGAAAAACTGTTAGTGTTCTTCAGTGGTTATGGTATTTAGCATATTAGCATTTCAAAACGGCATGTTCTTGCAGGTATATCTAACGAACTTCACAGACGACTCAAACCACCCCTTCCACCATCCCAACCGCTTACAGTAAAAAGAGTTCAGGTACATGGGCAGAGCACTCAAGAATAATGCACATTCTGTTAACAGCCACAATGGGGAAACAGGTCATTTTTATCCTGTTACAAGTTATCACGCAAAACCATTCTAATTTTCAACAGGCCCTGACATCATGGTATTTACTGCAAAGTCTGTCAAAATGGTCAGGAAGGTGGTAGCGTCAGAAAAAAAAGTTATTTATCTTCTTGTATTTAAGATACTCATAAAGAAATAAGTATACCAACTGCACGCTGGCACCGCCGACTATAATCAGACACTACAGGAGTGCACCCAAGAAGGTAAAATGCTTTGTCCGGACTCGAATGTGTTAACGTGAGGTTTGTGTTCTATGCAAAACCTTTAAGGAGCTTAAAACAAAAAAAATCGGTCGGCCTTCTTGATTGTTAGGAAGAAAGGAAACTGTTTTTAAAAAATGATGGTTAAGAGAATGTAAGAGATAAGGGATGGAGTCACCGCAGGGACCGTAACTACAAGCACAGAATGGAGGGAGGGAGGGTCTAAAAAGAAAGCGGGGTTCACATCCCGGGGCTTACACATACATTAGTAAAAATTAATTCAGCTCGTGAGAAAAGAGGGGGGGTCTGTGGAGAATAGAACTACACACCGGGACCTGTCCCGGCTGAACAGTGACAGCAAAATCACTTCCTGAGGAAGGAGGAGCAAAAGGGAAGTTAAGAGGCCACTCTGACCAGGAAGTGACTCGCCCTAAACTAGCCTCAATCCTCTCTAAAAATGGGGGGGGGGGTGACCCCAACAGCTAAGATCCGCAAAATGACTGCTTGTTAAGTCGCGACATCACCATCGCCCCAAGTCAATTACAGAAGGATCCACAGTCACGATTCAAGGGAAAGTCTCTTCGCTCGCAGTAAAGCCCCTGAGCTGTGCCTGAAGCCCGGGAGAAAAAGAAAAGAGTTGAGAAATGAGGAACTGGGGCCACCGTGAGGCAGAGGAAAGCCCCTCAGGAGGGAAGTGTCCCGACTTCGGAGAGCGTCTGCTAGCACGGGCCAAGCGGCTCTTTCCTGCTGGGGACCCCGCCGGGGTCCCCAAGGCAGCCGGGTCGGGCCCCTCTTCCCTTCAGCGACAGAAAGTCCGAGGGAGAGAGAGGCGGACCCCTTACCTTCTCCTCATCCGACACCCGATCCTCGAAGTCGGCCATCTTGGGCTGCTCTGGCCCAGCCCGGCTAAGCGCGAGGCAGGCCGGGAAGGAAGCCGAGTGATGGAATCACCGCGGGGGCCGTCGGAAGGGCCCGCCCGGAAACGCCGACAGCGGGCGCGCCATATCTGTGGCGGGCGGGGGTGCAGGCTCCCGGTGCCGGCGCGCGCGTCCCAGGAAGTTGCATTTGCCGTGAATGATAGTTAAGTCTAACAGCTCCTGAGTTACACTCATTTCCCCCTTCGCTGCTGGACACTGGGCGCGTGTCTCAGTTGTTCTTGGCGCCAGCCCTCCATCTACTCCACGCTGCTGCTGTGGTTTTCGCACGACCAGTGATCACCCAGGCAGCCGAGTCTGAGGGCTGAGTGCTGCTCGGCCCCTAGAACCATCGGTGACTTTTTCCAAACCCAGGAATAGGGTGAAAGGCGATCCTCACTGTATGGAAGCGAAAACACCTCTCTCCGGAATTACTCTCAATCCCGTTCCTACAGAATAAGTGTCTTTTCCCACCCCTTCCCGCCCGCCAAAGGAGTGGGCAGCCCCAGTCCTGGGTTGCACCTCCGCCCTCAGACTCCTCTCGGTCCGCGTTCCGCGGGACTCAGCCTTCAGAAAGGCCAACCTCAAGTCCGCCACTATCCCAAGATTCCCGACTCCCGGTTTCCTGCCCTTCTACCCTCCCAGCTCCCGGCGCCTCAGGAGCGGCAAGATGGCGGACGGCGACGGCTTGGGTGAAACAGCGGCTGCTGCGGGACCTCCAGCACCTGCTCCCGGCCTGAGCCCGCCACAGGGCTGGAGGGAGCGGCTGCGGGCCGGGCTGGCGGGGACTGGGGCCTCGCTGTGGTTCGTGGCCGGGCTGGGGCTGCTTTACGCTCTGAGGGTCCCGCTGAGGCTTTGTGAAAATTTGGCCGCGGGTGAGAGGCCCAGACCTCCCTGGGGACGGGCGGGGGGCCAGGACCGGCGCCCGGGGTAGGGGCCAGAGGGCAGCCGTCCTCGGTAGTTCCTGGAGGGCTTCAGAGCAGTGAGTCGGTGACGCGCCCAAGTGGGTTCTGGTACTCTGGGGCGGCAACTCGGCAGCTGATGTCAGCTGAGCTGCAGTTACCGGCTGCTCCCTGAGCTCTGAGGACCCGCCCTCTCCTGTCCTGGTTTACCCGCGGGAAAGCCACCTGACATACTGTAAGCTTCAGGTTGGTAGGACGGATGAGAACGTGCTCAGACTTGGACGCAGAATTTCTGTGCACCCCCACCATTGGTAGGAACTCTTGAAAATCATTCCTTCGAGTCTCCTGCGGCTCCACTGAGTGTACCCACACGCAGATAACCAAGATGCGCCCTTCTGTATTCAAAGATCTCGAAAGCAAAAGGAAAGACGAGAAAAAGGTTGCCGTGATCGGAGCTAACCATTCTCTGGTGTTAAAGTAATTCTTTAGAAATCGATTTAGTGAGAGGTTTGTCAGCTCCTTATTGTACACTTTTGTGTAACGGAATAGAACAGTTCAGGAAGTAAAGAGAAGGCGCCCTAATCAGCTGTGGGTTCTTTCGGTAGTTCATTTCGCTCTTTGTAGCTTGGACTGAAGACAAAGACGCGTAAAGAATTATGATGCCTGTGAATGCTGTGTATATTCTGTAGCTGAAACCAGGGACTCTTCCGTGTCATTACAATACTTCAACTCAAGCACTGAGCAGGCAGCCTCCGTTTAAGAAGTATCTATCTCTGCTACGTGATGACTGTCAGGACCAGAGTTTATTTTTCTGTATGGAGAACAGGCAGCTGTCCTCAATTCCATGAGAGAGCACGCAAGACGGAGATAGTGCTCTGAAATATCTTGGGCCTTTTAGAACATCGGTGTTATGTAAATTCAGATATAACTAACACACTAAAGCAAGTTAAATAAATTGGCCTTCTCAACACTAATTTAAATAGCTAATTTAGTGTAATAGACGAATGAGATGCTTATTAATGTTTTACATACTCAGTGAAATAATAATTCATTTAATTTATCATTTATTTTTTCTGCATGTTAATTAGATACAGCATTAGGATGAGAATAGCTATTATAGATTTTTATTTCTTTCTAAAACCCAGAATATTTATGAGACAATTATTAAATGATCTGGTTCAGGATTTTAGTGAGTAGGGTGCAGGGAGCGCTCAGTTTCCTGCTCTTTGAACTATTTTACCTTCCTTTTCTGACTTACCAAATACTTATACACTGTTTCTTTCCTGCTGATTTGTATCTCATCAGAATAATTAGGGTATGGTTTTAAACCTCCTTTGTAATAGGATGCTTGTTCTGCATAGTGTCATAAGTTTGCAAGTTTTTGTTTAAATTGTGACAAATTCTTAGTTTTATCAAAACCAGGCTAAATATCTCACTTTGCTGATTAACAGTGTAAAAATACTACTCTTGCTGTGTGAAGGAGTCTTTAAGATGATAAAATGAGAATTTAAAATGGCTTTATTATTTCAACTTTCCCTAATGAATGCCATTGTAGATGTTAATACTACTTATATCCCTCCCCACTCATAAACACCTGCGTATTTGTAACCACATTTGAATTTGCATTTTTTTAAACTGATTTTTTTCTTTCCTTTTGGCAGTGACAGTATTTTTAAATTCATTGACTCCCAAATTCTATGTGGCACTTACAGGGACATCATCTTTGATATCAGGACTAATATTTGTAAGTAGTTTCCATTTCCTTCATTCATGTTTTGATATTTATTTGAAGATTTATCTGTTTACCATAATTATAAATATGTATAGGTCAGCTCTCAAAATGTGTTAAGTGTTTAAAAAATAGAACTCCCTTTCCATTTTTAAGGGTTTGGCAGTTTACGTTTACCTTTGAAAGACTATAGTATACTGTAGGAAGTGGAGACTGAGAGATGGGTTGCAAGGACCTGCAGGGCCCAGGTAGGTCACAAAAATGACATATAGGAGAATTAAACTCATTAACTTTGAGTGCTGGGTAATCCAGATAGTGGGTGCTCTTTCTAAAAGAGGCTAAGGCTAATTTTTGCCATTAGATTTGCAGGCCAGTAATATTAGAGCTTTCAGTTTTTTAGATGATTTCAAGGAACCTGGAAATAATAGGTATATTCACCCAGTTCTTTAATGTTGGCAAAATTGGGCAGAATAAAAATTCATCTGTGTCTTAAATTCAGCCTAGAGATTGCAAGTTGTCTTCTGGAGTGTCTAAGAGCTGAGTTTTGGAGCGTGGCTAATCATCACTTTTAGCAAGTTCACATTACCTTTTTAAAGCCCGAATTCCTCATCTTTACATTGGGGATAGTAATATCTGACATATAGGATTATGAGAACTTTGTGATATAATGTGTATAAAAACAAGGTAGCTAACTCAGAGTAAATGTTCATTGAGTGGTGATTTTTCTTCTGTACTTTTTTCTCATCTCTAGGTGGTGCTATCCAACTATAGTAGAAGTCAGCTGCTCATTTGCATTAGTGTTAGCTGCTTTTTTTTTTTTTTTTTAAATAGGGGTTGATAATTGACCATGCCTAAGTAAAACACCAAAGAGGAAAGGGTTTTTTTTTGCTTGACTTAAAAAATAATTGAGAAATTCAGAATGAAAATTGTGTGTTAATATATGCCTCAAAATTTGTTGATTTATAAAACCCCCTCATTATTAAGCATATTTTAACATTTAGTCAATAGCATATAAAAATCTAAAGAAAGTAAATTGATCTTAAACAAGTGATGTAGTAGGAAAAGAATTGGTTTTAGAACCAAAAGATGGGGCTTTGAACCTTGAATCTGTTACTAGTTAGTATCTTCCAGCAAGTCAAACATTCTCTAAGTCAATTTCCTCATTTATAAAATGGGGGAAATTTTACATCTGTGTATTTTACACACAAATAGATTTAACTGAAATACACATAGAATATATAAGGAAATTAAAAAATAATGTGTCTTTAAACTGAGACTTTAAATTTATAAAAATTAAGAAATTCGAGTAATAATTTAAAGGTTAAACTGTTGTTACTCTTATAATATTGATGAGTTTTTATTAGCAAAGTTCATTGTGTTTGTAGTTTCTTTGAGCGTGGACTTACCACGCTTGTGTAGACGGACTGGGATATACTTGGGAGGGAGGCAGTCTGCTATCATTGTTAAAAACCCTACAGTTAGGCAAGATCCGAATAAGAATCCCAGTTCTGCCACTCATAGTGGTGAACCAGAACATGCTTAAACTTGGAGTGTATGTCTTCATCTCTAAAATCAGTTGTTTTGGGGTTAGATGACCAAATGCAAATAAAAGATTTTTACAATGCTTAATAAAAATCAGCATTGTTATTGTTCATTGTGTTGGAAAGTTGACCAAACATTGAAAAAGATTTCACATATTCATTCATAAAATCCACCATATAGGGAAGAACATGTATTAGTTACCTTATTATTATTATAATTATTATACCTGATTATGATCCAATATAAATTTTGTCTTTTCTACATCATGAGTAATTTTTTCTTTTGTGATTTCTCCCAGTTGTTTTCAAGTTTTACCACACCTCTTAGTAAAACATATAGCCATATTTGGTGCTGATTAACTGAAGCTGTTCTAAACTGAGCAGAAAAACGTTAGAGCGTGACAGAAAAAATACTGCACCTTGATTTTCTAGCACTGTCCTGTAAATGTTATAGCATTTAGTCAGTAAAATAATTGGACAGCAGTGTCACACAGAATCACTCTTGTTTTTGGCACCTTTGTCATGTACTTGTTCTATTATTTACTGAAGCAGAAAATTTACTAAAGCATTCCTAAAGATCTGAAAATTGTATGTTTAAGAGAGAGATAGTCATTATAAATAGTTTTTTTACAGGTCATAATTGGGCTCTCCTTGGTGGTGCAGCAGTTAAAGCACAGCACTTAGAAGCTAAAGCCGCCTCTGCATGAGTTTGATCCCCACCCTGGAGGTGACCACATGGTGTGGCAGACCACGTCTGACCTGCCTGCTGCTCCCCTCAGCAGTGTACTTCGTCGATCTGCCTGTTCTGCTCCCCACTCTGTCTCTGTTGAAGCCTCTTACTACCCCTGCACCTCTGGCCTATACCCCTGTCTGTATTCATAAATAAATAAGTCTTTATGTGTATACATAAATAAATGTATATGTATACACACACATACACACACACTAAAGATTTATTTATGAATAGAAGAACTGGGGTACAGGCCAGATGTGCGGAGGGTCAGCGAATTCACCAGAGACAGAGGGGAACAGAACAGGCAGATTGACTGAAATACACTGCTAAGGGGAGTAGCAGGTAACACAGGAGAGATCTACTGCACCATGTGGTTCACCTTCTTGGCCAGGGAGGTGCAGTGGCTGAGGATAGGGATAGTTTCACAGTGCTGAGACTTTACCCTTTCTGCCACCAGGAGGCCCAAGAAGAGGAACATATTAAAGTTAAATAAGTTTTAACAGTAATACGTAGAAAACTATTAGTAATAATTTGAGCAATTTTAAACTGGAAGTCCCCTCTTGATTATTCATTCAATAAATATTTATAGAGTATTATCCTCTGGATCCTGGAAATCTTTGGTAAGCAAATAGGTGCAGATTCTTTTCTTATAGAATTTGGTCTAGAAGTGATCATGGACATTGATTCATTTATTTGACAAGTTTATAGTGAGTGACTACTAGGTGTCACACATTGCCACTAGAAAAAAAACTGTTCTAAAGGAGCTTACATTTTATTAAAGAAATAGATGGTAAAAGTCAAATAAGTAAAACAAGTACCATGTTCTTACTATCAGTGATTAATGCTAAAGGGAATAAATAAAACAGAAAAGGGCACATGAAGGTTGACATTTTTGGGTAGGGAAGTAAGGAAGGCTGGGATAGTGAGTAAACTAACTGTGCTGGTTGTGTACCTCCACCAGAAGGGTTTGTGTGCTGTGGAACTTGAGTAATAGTGACAAAGCCCATGTTTCATTGTCAGAAGTGAGAAGACTCCTCTGAAAGGAAAACACAAGATCCAGTGGGTGTCTATAACACACTTTCTTTTCTTTTAAAGATAAAGATGTATTTCTTCATGCATACAGGAACTGGGGTACAGGCCAGAGGCATATGTGGTGGGGGGGCGGTGAGAGGAGACAAAGCAGAGAGCAAGCAAGCAGATCTACTGAAATCCGCTGCAGCGGGGAGCAGTGGGCAGGTCAGGAGAGAGAGAGGGCTGCCGCCCTGTGGGTCAGCTGCCTGGCTGGGGATGGAGCCTGTGCCGCAGTGGCTGTGCACAGCTTCACAGTGATGCACTTTAACCCAGTGCACCAACACACTTCAAATAAATAAATCCTCATGTATATACATATATATAAAGGACCCAACACACTTTCTTTTTCATTGGGATCAGGAAAACCTTTCTGAGGCTATACCATTTATTTTAAGCCAAAACTCAAGGCAGAGGGAGTTGAGAAGGTTGGAGTGTCCAAATATGAAACATTCTGCCCATTCAGCACAGGGAGCTTCTTTTGGTTCTTCTTTTTGTAAGTGATAAGCTATATGGAAACAGAAGGAGTGAATATTCTGTTTTTCAGTAGTTTGATAGGGGAATCAACCTGACTTTTAATCTACATAATACTCCCAAATACCAGGGTATTATTTTGTTATTTAAAAGGTTTACCATATTTGATAGATAGGACATTGAGTCTCTGAGGCTAGATGCTAAGTGATTAACCAAAGCACAGAACTTACAATTGGAGACATTATATCCCTAGTCTTTTGCTAAACTTGCACCCTACTAATTGTTCCAAAGTTGCTTTTCTTTTACTAATGCTACACATAAAATGATCTGCCACTTAAGAGTTACTTACAACCAACTCTTTAATGCTTTATTTACAGATGTATTTCTCCTAGTTTTGCCTAAATTTCTGCAAATTTTATGAAAAAGCTATAAAAAAGTATTTCACTTTTGCTTTGCACATGTTACTGAGGGGTCTTGCTTTGACTTAATTTTTTGAATATACGTTTAAAGTGCTGAATTAAACCGGAACATCTTAAGAGAATTTTAAAATTGAACTCATCTCTGCTGATCTATTATGTCAAGTGAAGAATGTTTTCTGTTTGTCATAGATATTTGAATGGTGGTATTTCCATAAACATGGCACATCTTTTATTGAGCAAGTGTCTGTAAGCCATCTCCGACCACTGATGGGGGGAACAGAAAGCAGCATTTCAGAGCCAGGTTCTCCCTCCAGCAACAGAGAAAGTGAAGCCAGCAGACAGAATTTGTCAGGTGACTACTTTTCTAATGTGTTTTCAGGCTGTTAGTTAAGATTCAGTTTGACTGTGATAGCAAACTTACAGCAGACAGCTGTCTCTTTCATGTACAAATGGGCAATCCGTGACTAATCTGGAGAGCAGTGATCACCAGAGCCCTAGACTCCCATTTTTTTTTTATTTTTATTTTTTTACAAAGTTTATTTTTACATCATTTTGCACATTTTTTTTTTTCCATCTCGATTGTAATCCCCGCGGGTTTCCCATCACCAAATCACCCCTGTGCCACCACCATAGTCCCGTGCATTTCCCTCCCTTCCCCCC